CTACCACACCATTCTTTGAGGAAATAAACTGATTCTGAGAATTCTCAATATGTGGGAATGGTAACTGTTATTTGTTGCAGGTTTTTACAATGAAACACCTTTTACAGCTTGAGTCTCTTGAACAGAAGGTAAACTTCATGTACTTATTACTAAATGTTAACTTTCATCTTTATCTTATGTATTGCAGTTTTAGCTGTCTTCTCAATAGAGCCCATTCACACACATCACAAAAACAAAAGGATCCTGATGGCAGCAGGTGTATACAGAAGTGCACTTTTTCTTTCAGTACAAGAGACCACCTGACAGGGCCACCTCACTGCTGGGATATTAATCGCCAACTGATGCAATTTAACTTCTTAGGGAGCTGCTAAAGCTTTCTGTTGCCAAGCAATACTGAGATAGCTGAGCGCCGCTTAAAGAGACAGGGAGCTTTAAACCAGGAACCAGTGGGCTTTGTTCAAACCAGTCTCTCACAGCCCAGTTTGCTGCGCTTTAAAATGTCAGAAGGCATTGACTAGCATCTCATGGATGAACTGTAGCCAGTCACACCATTGATTTTTATACTGGATACACACAAACACTACAGTTATTATCAGCTATGTGAACAAAGTGGGCAAAATGCTGCATTTTTGGACAACATACTACATTTTCAAAACAACAGATCAATATGGTTCAATATGGAGCAACAGCAATTCCTTCCTTCATTAGCTACACTGGTTCTGGGCATATTCAGAAGAGATGGTATCCTTTTATTGATAGCAATATAAATACTGCATCAATATGATACCTATCGATAATAATAATATTGAAACTATTGCAAAAATGCAGTGCACGACATTACATGAAAAGATGTGAAAAGATTTTTTTGCAGAAATAAGTTAAACCATTCCATGAGTTATTGCATTTTGCTGCATCTTCAAGAAAGGTAGTAATGTGAGCCCACACTTTAGAACGTTTATATAACGATAGCAGTATTGTAGGAGCTTATGGGCATTTCAGTCAGGAACCGGTACCAGTTTAGTACCTATTCTCGATACCCATCCCTTTGGTCCAGCATCTCCAAAAACCTCTATCTGAGCTTACCCAATGCCGTTCTGAAAAGAAGAATGCAAGGTATCACAACATATACTAGGAAAAACTGGCCATAACCGCTAAGTTACCAATTGGGAGAACTGCACCACACATGACAACAAGGAGAATTTGCATGCAACTTGAATAATCCAAAAGTCAAACACACAAGCTGCGGAGACCTTACAAAACATCCCGCTGACACGCAAAGCGGTTTTCTTTAAATGTTAACAACCAGGAAGCATTAAGAATTTATGCAATCAGTGCACAAGTCACAATGACTGGAGGTGTGTTTAAGAATACAGCTCAGAGCGTCAACACACAGCTCCGTATGGCCCAGTGACCCAAGAATGCAATGTTCCTCCTTATTTCCCTGATGCTCTGTGTTTAGGAGACACATATCCCCGGCGCCTGCAGACATCCTGAGAACTGAAGCTATTTTCAGCCTTACAGACGTTGGGACGATTTAGTTATTTAAGACTCAAACCTGTCGGTGACTGTGGCATTGCTGGAGGAGGACAGCAAAGTCCTTAGCCTAGATATTCATACTGGATCGTCCCAGCGGGGTATGCATTCTGCAGTTCTTGTAAATGAATATAGTGTTGGCTCTAAACAGTCCAGAAATGAATGAAAATCTTACTTAAGATGCTTTGACTACCAGATTTGGAAAGTGCTATGGCAGTCAGGTGTCCAATTATATATTCTGGACTTTTGACAACTGCTGCACAGCTCTGAGGCATTAAATATCTCTGGTATAATCTGTGGTCTGCTACAGCAAGTAAAAGAGCAGTCTTTGTCTCATGACATTTTTTTTTATATTATGTCAGACTTGTCTCCGTCATGTGGATGTTTTGACTTGGACTTGTCTGGTGGTCGTGTTTGGATTCTGACCTGTGTCTGGGATATTTGCCAATTAGCAATTCAATTCAATTCAATTTTATCATTATTATGTATAGCGCCAATTCATAACAGAAGTTATCTCAGGACAAATTTCACATAGAGCAGGTCTAGACCGAACTCTTTATAACATTATTTACAGAGACCCAACAGTACCACCATGAGCAAGCACTTGGCGACGAGGGCAAGGAAAAACTTCCTTTAAAGAGGCAGAAACCTCGGACAGACCCCGGCTCTAGGTGGGTGGTCGTCTGCCTCGACCAGTTTTCAGCTATGACAGAAGCCTAATGTTCACTTTGAGTGAATTTTCCAAGTAATATTAAGGCTGCAAAGATCAAACTGCAGCCACCTTTGTAGTTGTGATTACAGGAGCAATTTTTAGCTTCGAGTGCACTTTTAAACTAGCGTTGTTGTCTACCTTCAGATAAAACTTTTTACATCAGCTGCAGTAGAATCAGTACAAGCTGCGGAGAATGCATCTAATATCATTCACCAACATGAATTCCTGATTACATTAAGTCAATTCTGTGGTTAAGTGAAGCAATGAGTGAGAACTAATGAGGTATTGTTGGGTAAATGTGATGCTTTGAATCTAACAAAGCACAGAGAACACTCATTATACAAAAACATTTTTTTTTCCTGTTCAACTGCCAGATACTTTTGACTTGATATTTTTAGCCTGACCTTTCCTCTCCATTAGAACGATGAAAACTACACACTCACATTTACACTCACTCAGACTGAGGTAGAGTCAGTGTGAGCCACACCTTGCCACATTCAGTCTCACAATCAGCTGCCTTTGATTTACACTGACATCTCAGTGCGGGGAAATCTCTCCAGTTGTGGCTTTCGGTAAACGCAGGCGGCGTAAGGACTACAATGGGAGTGGGTAGGGAGGTTAAAGGAGTAATGATTTATTCCCCACAGGAGAGATGTGAGGCATTCATCACCAGGAACAAAAAAGCCTGTAGCACTGTTTGAGCTGTGGATGTTAGCACGGCTGCTAGACACAGACAGCAATACAACCTGCACTGAAAAGATGCCTTGCTATAACACTTCAGACAGAGGCTTTAACCAAGGATTTCTGTCAGCAGGGCTGTCTTATTATTGGATGCTTGGACCTTATTTTTTTAGCTATTTAATAAATTGAATTTTATATGCAAATAGCACAGCAAACACGCATCAGATACAGATACACACAGTGCATTTCAGGTCAAATGTACTCAATTTCAACGTTTGTATTGTATGATAGGGATAATACAGCAATATCAAAGCAGTGTTCAAGCCCATACAGTAGGTAGACTTATTACCGTGCCTTTCCTGTGTCTGCTCCTAAATTATGGAATGATCTGCCTCTGCACATTAAACAGGCCTCTTCTCTGTCTGTTTTTAAAACCGGTCTTAAAACCCATCTCTTCTCTGTGGCCTTTGACACCTAGTAAGATGTCGACTTTATTTACTTGATTTATTTTTTGTATTTGTTATTTTTACTTTTTGATTGCTTGTTATTGCATGGTTATTATTTTTATTTATGTCTTTTCATTTTATTGTTGTATTATATGTTATTTTGCGCCTCATGTGAGCTGTTATGTCTTTTATTTATGATGTCTTATTTATTCTCCTGTACAGCACTTTGGTCAACTTTGGTTGTTTTAAAGTGCTTAACAAATAAAGTTGGATTGGATTGGATTGGATTACTATAGTATATTTTTTTTACCTGAATAAAAACATAGAAATGATAGCCAAACACTAAAAAGTCTGTACAAAGGAAGACAGGGATGTTACCACTAATACCGGAGTAATTGCAGTAGGAATTAGGGCTGCATCATATTGTGATTATATTGACAGTTATGGCGATTGCGATATGATTGAGGCGATTAGTGTGGGACTGATCATTTCTGCATCATAAATTACATTTTCAGTGAAAAAACTACTTAAATCGTGATTTTGGCAGTCTCTACCAAACAAACATCAGTTTCTGAAAATCTGGAGAGCAAGATTTGTAGGCCAGGGCAGTACTTCATTATAATGCGGTTCTGTCACACATTTGAACTTTATTTGCATATTGCACTCGGTCATATTGTGATTTCAAATGATATGGCGATTTATTGTGCAGCCCTAGTAGGAATGTAAAGATATATGGTGAGACCAGGGTTGGGAGGGTCACTTTAAAAATGGAATCTGAAACAATTATTAGTTACCTGTTGACCAAAAAATGAAGTCAGTAACGTGATTACTTTTCATACTTGTGGATTACCTCAACACTGAATATGCAAATAAAAACAAGAAAAAAGCAATATCAATAAGAAGCACTGTTATAAGCGTATTCTATAAAGACAACAGAATAATGTAGGCTAACCTTTGAAAGGAAAATGGGAAAAAATGAAACGCTTTTTTAGTTCCAGCAATGACTGACTATTTCTAAATTAAAACCGATGCATTTTAAAATCGCAATCTTGCTAAATAATCCCAATTTTTCTAAGTGTAACTGTAATCTCATTACATCTTTTTATCCTGTACCTGTAATGGATTAGTTTCCTGTTTTTGTATCCTGATTACGTATTGCCGTTCCATGTAATCTGTTACTCCCCAAGCTTGCATGAGCCAGTTATCGTGATATCAATCGTTGTATCAGTTTCACTTCACATACAGGACGCTTTGTTTAAAAAAAGATTATAATTTGATAAAGAAAATATATTAGAAAATCTTTTTCAGTCATAATTTTGTCATTGTATTAAAAATAAAACGTATGGTGAAGTGTATGGAACCGTGAGCGGAGTGCACCGTTACCGTAAGGTGCAGTGTAGCTAGCTTCATTCATTCAGCAGCAGTTTGTTAAACTTGCCTTTCAAACTGAATTAACGTTATCCCAACGCAACACCCAGGTGAACCCCAGCAACACACCCGCGAAAAACAAGCCCCGTATGAAGCAACACTTCCGAATCCTCCTGTCGTGATTTCGGAGTGAAAAGCCATGAAATAAAACAATAAATATGTAAATGTGAAGCTCGACGCGCCGTCCAACAGCAGCCTACCTCTCGTTTGACGTTCCATAATAATTTCTCTTTGTGGTCTTCCACCGTGGAGCCCTCCATGTCTGCCTGTCCTGTCCTGTCCGTCCGCGGTGTGTGTGCACGACCCAGGTCTGTCTGTCTCTCTGACACCGTGTCTCCGGCGCTGTCAGTCCGCTCTCCCCGGCCTTTTCAGGGAGCTCTCTTTGCTTTTTATTCCTCGTTTCCTTCTTCCTTCGCTCAGCTGGACTCTGACGCAGCCGAGCAGCTTGGCGGCGACGTCAGAGGATCCGCCTTCCCCGCGATACTGATCAATGGAGGAGGGAGAGCATCCAGCCCCGCCCTGACCTGCAGCCTCCCAGCATCCCACACACCAACCTGTAGAGCCTCCAAGTTATTTATAGCACCTCCTTTCTCCTCCTCTCCCGGCCGGGGGAGAGTTAGAGCAGGGGAGCCGCTGTCTTGTGAGAAGGTGTGAAACGCTGGTACGGAGAGGTTTGTGTGCTGGTTGTAATAATTCATTTATATGTTAATGCGTTTGATGAGCTCATTGTAAGGCTTGTTCATTCACAAGCCCGGGACTCTATTATCCGCATTACCTGTAAACTATTCTTTTATTTTATTTTCAAAACATTAATACTGTCATTCAAACACATTTAGGCATGCTGTGCATATTGTAGCCTATATGCTGTCATATCTACCTACCTCATGTACACACAAATATCTGCACAGAAATATTCATTCCAGCATCCTTTGCACTCAGCACTATTGTCAACAAATGTTATTGCCTTTGTTTATGTCTTTATATATAACTGTACACTGTACATTTTGTACCACTGTAATATTCCAGCAGCTGGGGCACCAATTAAATACTGGAAAACAACAGAAAATAACTGACTTGTAAAAATACAGTAATTTTATTTGGTTTAATTAAAAATATTTTCACATGTAAAAACGTTTTACCTAAATGACCTATAACTACAGGCACTACACTGCTGTAACACAAATAATCAGGCTTACATTTGAAGAAGAGTGCTGTTATTATATGATCTTTCTTATTTTAATCTGAATTTTAAAAGTAATATTACTTATTTATTAAGTATTAAATACATTTACAATTACATTAATAATTAAAAATTATATTTGAACCGTCTTTCTACTTGAAAAGAGGAAACTTTCTTTAAATAAGCAGTCATTTTATGATTATTTACAGTTACAGATTATTTTACATTATACATGTAAATTCACAGACTATTTCTGTAATTTTATTATATATCCATGTATTTTTAAAAAAATACAGAAAACAAAATCTGTAAAATAAACGTGAAGAACCCTGTAAACTTACAGATTTTGTTTTACAGTGTAACTGTTGTCCTGTTTATTTATGCTTATTCTGTGTATAAAAACCGGAGTGAAATTCCTTGTGTGTGTGTATAGCTGGCCAATTAAAGTGATTCTGAAGCTCGGCACAAAAGGAGACTGCATCTGAATCACAGGGATTCTAAAAATAGTGCTCTGTGAAGCACACGTTGACCACTCTCAGTGCTGGTGCCAGGTTGGCCTGCTGCAAAATAAATGACGTCACAGCAGCGTGATATAGAATAACCCCTCTGTTGGAGTCCCTGTCATTAAAGCTCCTGCTTGTGCCTCCATGTGGGCTGAGGGTGCACCTGCAGCCGTCAGAAGCCACGCTATCATACAGCTCTGCCTAACATTTCTGTGCTATGTTCAGCTTTAAAGAATGGATTTTTTCCAATCAGCTTCTTATTATAAATGATGTATTCCTACACGAGCACAGCATTCTCTGCCAGTGCTGGAACACTTCTGGTTATTTCACAGGAGAGATTTCTTTCTGAATTGTTTTGCCTGTGCTCCTCTCGCTGGTCGAGCCCTGCCCTCTTCAAACCAGTGACATAAAAGAAAAAAGAAATACAGAAATTCCTCATGTTAAATAACCCAACCTGGCAGAAAATACAGTGTTCATGTAGGATCCCATCACCTATAGTAAGAAGCTAATTGAGAAAAATATGTTTCAGGACCTTTAATAAATAATACAGAAGGATTTTCTCCAGAACTTTAAAGGGCTAGTGTGTAGGATTTAGTGACACCACTCACGTGTGTATTTAACAACCTGGGAATAAGAACCGGCTGTGTGTAGGAGAAACTATGGTGGCTGTGAAACTTGCAAAAAAAACACTTTTTGCATTGTGGCTACGAGTATGCAACTATCTTTCTCCACAGCTGTACTTTAGGCGTCACCTCTCCAACAGTGGTGTGCCTTCCTCCTCCCTCTCATCCTTTTCTTTCATCCATGGAGCCAACATGAGCAGTTCTGGTTTTCAGGTATATAACACTTAACCCAATTTTAGGAGTACAGATTAAAGTTATGGCTTCAATAGTGAGTAAGAAATCAGGAGCTGGTATCAACAAGTGACACCTCAGTCAGACTCTCTCTAAGTTACAGCGGTCCTGGGTGTAATTCAGCTATAGCTGAGCATCCAGCTAGGAATCACCTGCAGCAACAAATCAAGAGTCTGCTGCTGCTCCTGGTAAACCTGCTCAAGAACAGGTTTACCAACATACTGTAGGTAACCATGGTGATCTACCCTGGTTTACAGTGATGGCACAGAGCCCAAATGCTGATAAACCTTTACATTACAGCTCAGAAATCATGTTTCTTATTTAAAAGTAAACCTAGTCGAAGTCTAGAGATAAAGCAAACACACAAGTGACACTGATTCTGGCATATCTGAAGTCATTTAGATGGTAAAAATGGAGATTTTCCTTACCTGGATTGGGGGTCTGAGGACAGAGGTTGTTGTACAGATTCTAAAGCCCTCCTAAGGCAAATTGTGATTTATGATTTTGGGATATACAAATAAAAATTGACTTGACTTGAGTTGACTTGACTAGTTATGTGCTGTGTGTGTGTGTGTGTGTGTGTGTGTGTGTGTTTAGATGGTTTAACTGCAAGATGGGCCAAAGACAATATCCAATGCCTACATTTATGGGTGATGAATTAGTATGGAAATAGTGGAGAAAACAAGGTGCAATTTATCAAACCTTAGACCAGATCTATTATCTTTGTTGTATTCTCTCCAATATCCAAATGTCTCTCAGCATGTAGACAACTGTGTGAAGCCAAACCTGAAACAACACATTATTTATTTTGTTTAGTTTTTTTTTTTATCTCACTGCCTAGCTGAAAGGGGCATGTAAACAGCATATTCTGTTTGGATATTCCCTATTAGGCCTTATTCCAAATGGAGCATTTTCCGATTAAGACGTGGGCTATGCCAATATTAATCAGGTTTTAGGAGCATATTCGGAATATGCGTCTCATCTGGGGTCTTCACTGCAGTTTGCCTGTTTACAGTCAGCTCTGTGCATCAGAAACAAACCAACTAGCCATCAGTTTGCAAGGTTGGAGAAGACCACAAAGGTCACAACGACCAATATTTTCAATTATTTTCAGAGTATGTTAGTCAAAGTTCCTTCTCTTAAAGTTACTGCTAATGCTAACATTTCCTGCTGCTGCTACTCCACATTAAGAGTCAACTAGCATTTATTATAAAGAAGCCAGAGCAGATGCAATGTAATTGTCACAGTGGTTAGTGTTAACCACAGTCCATCAATAATGCGTCTAAAAAACAAGACGCGGTCGAGACTGCCATTTTGAAACTGATTCTTTGAAGTGAGCCAACAATAAGCAGAATATTATTTCATTAAGTAAGAGCATTACTGTCTCCTGATAGTTGAAACTGAACTGCAGAGTTTCTTATTATGCCTACCTTCTAAAAGCACAACACAGGAAAAAAGGAGTTGAATTACAATAACTTTTATCTTCACAGCTGGAAAAAAGGCATTATGGTAAACTGCATTAAAACATGTTAGAGGCACACTCATTCTGAAAAACAAGAGGTTCATCTTTGGCAAACAACAGGCTGTTGTAAATGCGTATATGAAAAATACAATCTATAAATATGAAACATGCTCTCTTGCTGATTCGGAGTGCTAAGTGCTAGGATTGTAACAATATTTCTTCTAGGAAATAGTGCATATTAGTGATTTTTCCTCCATTATTAATCTACATTTCATAAAAAAAAAAAACCTACAGTTCTCTGGATATTTGAAGTAGTTGCTTTGAATCCTCTGATAATAATTCATAAATTATGATGGACAGAGCAGACAACACCACAACTATCTAGAGTAAAAAGTCAAATGCAATTACATCAAGGCCACAATTTGGACTTCTTAGATAGTGGTAAAGAAAGTAAGATAGTAAAACAATTCAAAAGAGAAATGTTATGAGCATCAACAGACTTCATGTTTGAGTGTTCATCATCAACATGAAAATCTGAAATGTGTCCAGCGGTTGGTGGTTTCAGTCTCAGTGTCCCAGCGGCCGGTCGTCGTACGTGCTGTACCTCTTGACGTGGATTCGACGGACTCGCTCGCGAAGCTCGGCTCCTCCGGGCCCCTCCTCTTCCTCGCTGTGGGAGCCACAGTTGCTGTAGCTCCGCCGCGTGGCTTCCAGCAGGGAGTTGTCGGGCAGCGGCATCGTCTCGTAAAGCAAGGTGTTCAGAGTCTCCTCGTATATTCGAGCTTCAGGAAATTCCACCTGTGGTAGGAAGAGACAGATAGCTACTTTTTTTCCTAGATTTTGAATAAATCTGTTGAATATGCACAACAATTAAAAAGGTCAAAATTGTTCCAGGTTTCACTCATGCCTGCAGGTCGAGCCAACAAAAACACTAAAAACAATAAAACACACACATAAAACCCACACTGTCTGTCAGGGTTAAGTTAGTACAAATAACTGCACACAGCCTAAGATCCAGCTTTAAACAAGAGACCTTCAGACTCTTTAGGGTTGCTGAGAGGAATTTCTGTGCCTGAAGTGTGCAATTATTGTAAGTGTTGTCAGTCATAACACTTCAGTGGTTTGGTCACTCCAGTGCCAGTGCTTCGACATTTGCTGTCTTTTTTAAAAGGGATTTTTTTTTTCCATTTAAAAAGAAAACTGTTGGTTAGTTATTGAAAAGTCTGGCTCAGTTTTCCTCAGTACTGAATATCCAGATCCCATCAACCACACGAGCTAACTGATCCATCACTTATAGGAATCTAAGAAGAAATAAAATAACTGTTCTATTAGACTAGTGCATTGGTATATATATATATATATATATATATATATATATAAAAAAGTATTTTGAAATTACTTTTCAAATCATTTTTTGAGGAAACCCACCCACATACACACCTTCACCTCCTGCACTCATCGACTGTAACAATGACAGAAACACCTTTATGCTGCATTTTGG